CAATATATCTATAGCAAGACACGTTATTGCATTCATTAAGTAAGACTAGGATACCATGAAAAAGTTACAACCAAAGAACAGAGAAAAGGCTCTTACAAAATAAAAATATAATAGCCAATATAAAGATGTCAACAGGAGATTGGTAGATAAAATTGAGGAAATTCCCCACCAAGTAAAAGACTCCAGACCTAACCACATCATAACTCAACAGTGACCTAAAAGTATGGGCAAACCAGTGCTATTATAAATTGTTGATTGGAAGGAAACTGGTAACATTTCTAGAGGGCAGTTTGGCAATTACTTTCAAAATTTAAAATATGCATTCCCTTTAGCTCAGAAAATCCATTTCCAGGAATTCTATCCTACCGATTAATTCACTTGTACATAAAAAGAGGTATATATAAAGACAGAAATAGCAGAAGGCTGGAGATATACTAAATGTCGTCAACTGGAAACTGCTCAAAAAAATTACATCACATCCATGCAATAGAATACTGCACGGCCATTAAAAAAATAATGAGGTCACTCTAGATGTACTCATATGGAATGATTTCTAAAGTATACTGAAAAAAGCGAGATGTGGAACCACGTGCTTATATGCTAGAGCACATTTCTAGTAGGGTACACCAGAATTGATAATAGTGATTACCTCCATTAGGGTGACTGGTGGCTGGGGGTACAGGTGAAAGGGAGACTAACTTTCAATGTGTACCTTTTTGTGTTTTTTAAATTTTATATCTATTTTATTTAATAGTAGAACAATGTAATGAAGCTAACTGCTCCTTCTCTGCTTTATTTATTTATTTATTAAAGATTGGCACTGAGCTAATAACTGTTGCCAATCTTTTTTTTTTTCTGCTTTATCTCCCCAACCCCCCCCCCCCCCCCGTACATAGTTGTATATCTTAGTTGCAGGTCCTTCTAGTTGTGGGTATATCTATTTTTTTTTAATTATTTTTAAGCTACAGAGTTAATGTCTCTATCTTTATTAAAAAGGTCTTAATTTCCAATCAAAATAAATTTTGTAATCTTTCCTCTGAATCATTCCTAAATCTATTAGTATTTTTTGGTCGAAATGCCCCAAATTAGACCCAATACTATAATAAAAAATGCTCTTGAATGTAACATTTTATTACAATCAATGACTAGGTGTATTGGCCTCTTCTTGGTTTTTTTTTTTTTTTCCCTTTTTCTCCCCAAAGGCCCCCCGTACATGGTTGTATATTCTTCGTTGTGGGTTCTTCTAGTTGTGGCATGTGGGACGCTGCCTCAGTGTGGTTTGACGAGCAGTGCCATGTCCGCGCCCAGGATTCGAACCGACGAAACACTGGGCCGCCTGCAGCGGAGCGCGCGAACTTAACCACTTGGCCACGGGGCCAGCCCCTCTTCTTGGTTTTTAATTATAGGACAATATTGGTAACATATAAAATATTTCTCCTATTTATTGTATATATACCTCTTTACCCACACTTCTGCCACCACCCATAGCCCTTGCTAAAATGGTGGCCCAAAGTGACTATGAACTAGTAAATGTTCCTCCACTGACCACCAGGGATGAAGACCTTGGCCAAGCTAAACCATTCTGCTTTCCCAGGAATCTGGAATAGGGTCACTGAGAAATAGTCAGTTGGCCTTTGGAGCCAAACCACAAGGTTATGTAGCACTCACTGTATGCAGAAAAGACAAGTAAGCTGGGGAAGAAAGCCAGTCTCCAGAGAGGAGTACAAGAACGATGAGGACAGGGGCAGAAGCCACAGGAGAAAGGACTCCTGACTTCCCAATTCCAGGCCCACTGGCCTTGTTTCCTTTTATGTCCTGGTTGTTGTCCACCGTGTCTGTTTCTCAAGCTTGTGTGAAAAGTTTTCTATTCCTTGTGCCCATCCATTTCCTAGCTAGGACATGAACTATGATGTGTAGACTATTTTCAGCTCTCCTTATTAACAACTGATCTTTTATTTATTAATGCTTCTCAATATTTATCCTAGTATAAATAATACTATGGTGGGAGCATGGTGCTCTGGGAGTTAGTCATCATTCTCCCAGTAATCCACAATAAACAACTCAATTCTCCTTTCTATATCAAATTTCTTTTATTTTAAAAATAGGATAATAATATCCACCCTAACTTACCCATATCATCATTCTTTATTAAGATTAAATAATATTCTAAAACAAAAAAACTTTGAAAAGTATTTTTAAATGTCAGATATTATAAGTGATGTTATTTGTTATATGTTATAATGTTAATTTCCGAGAACGTCTCTAAATCACTGAAGTTAACGTTTGGTGCTAGCTTGAAGTTATAAGACCTGCACAGTCATAGTGTCTTCATTTTCTTTCCCTTGTTTCCAAGTTGCTTGCTAGGAATATCAGATCAATGCTTAGGTTGGGCTGTGTTTACCTTGTTCCAGATTTGTGCCTTGACACTGTTTGTTGTTTTCTGGGGTCTTTTTGACACTGTCTCTGTTTCACCAACCCCTGACTAGCCCGGCTGAACTGGACTCATCTTGCCTGGAAAGCAAATTCTGACATACTTACCTGGGCAGCATTTAATCAACACATCTGTTTTTTCCAGACTTGTTCATAAGATAAACACATATTAAGCTCTAAAATCACATTATAAGAGGTCACTTTCCTGCCACATCTCTACAATACCTTAGGGAGGCAGCCACCTGATGGTAGCCAAAAAATTAATCATCTTTCAACCTCCATCCCCCTTCAGGAAGGACAAAGCTCCACCCTATCCTTCTTACAAACAGGAGCTCTTTCCTGACTTCTTGTCCTTTGATGTTTATTTCAATTTGATGTTACCTGTATACATCTATTTCCCCTTAGGTGGGACACCAGCATGATTTTCTCAGGTTTCATACAACCCACCACAGACAGCCAAAAGAGTGTTTAGCTACAAATGAGTTAGGTTTTAAATGAAATATGAACCCTATTTAATTAACCATATAAAACATGTTATATAATCAGCAAACAGAAGTCAAATCTAAAAATAGTATTCAAGATCTAGGACAAAAAAGATAGAGACAAAAAGTCAGGAAGAAGATGAAATCTTCAGGTAAAGAAGTAATTCAACTACTACGTTAGTGTTTGACTTCTACAGAAAGCCTTCCAATGTAACCCACCCTATAGTGGGATTTAGAACATACTGATAAGAAACTAAGTTCCCTGCCTGAATGTCATCAGGAAGAAACTAAAAATGTAGCCAATGTAAAATGAGCTATACACTTGGAAATTGTAACATGCTAAAAATTTCTGTTCAAATGAAAAAGGAATGTGTTATAATAGAAAAAAAAAGTAAAAAGAAGAGTCTAGAAGGTAGTTGTCCAGATGCAAAAATGTTCATGTAGTTAGAAATATTCTTAGAGTGGAAAATGTCAACCAAGCAATCTCTTGATCAATAATTTACTCCCAAAATGAATCAATGTACCAGGAGTGATGGGGGAAGGGGGATGGTGGAGAGAGAAGATTCAAGGGCTGTACAGATACCGTCATGTTGTCTAGCTAAGGAATTTAATAAATTCCCATTCTGATGCATTTCTTGCCCATTTAGTGGGGTCTCCTCAGCCTCTGGATAGTCTGATTCAATTTCTCATCCTGCAAAACCCAGGGCGGACTAGTCCCAATGCCTATTGTACCCCAGAAGACTTTCAAAAAGGACGAGATCTCCTTCGTGTTAATTATTACATTTGACATCTGGGCTCCTTCGCGCACCAAGGACTAACCCATTTTTTAATGCGCTTAGTAGAATTTCTGGAAACTATTGTGTCGCCAACTGGCAATGACTTATCCATGACACTTTCTACCTTGTATTTTATTAATATATAACTTCTTATAGCAGACCGTAAGTTCCTTGAGGATAAGAGCTCTTTCAAATCTGTAGTCCTTCGTTACCGCTATCCCAGTGTCTTGCACAGAGAAGGTTATCATTAAATATATAAGGAATCAAGATTGACAATATTGAGAATGGACAAGTCTTGACAAAAGTCTTTAATTAAAAATTTTGTAGTGGTAAACCAGCAACTCCTTCAAAATCCAGGTCACCACTCACTTCCTCTATTTCCTTAATTGTTATTTACTTAATTTTTATTATGATACAACAATGTATACCTTGATGAAAGGAGACATTTTTATGTTGTACCTGTTCCTGCGACATACTATCAGCAGATGCTCTCTCTTCCCAGCTAGTTTCTAAGTTCCTTGAAAGTGGGGACCATACTTTCGATTTCATCACACCATTCATACCCTATTCTGCACACAGTATGGACAAATATTGACCAAGTGCTTTCCATTGAGCAGGTGCTTTCTAAGAACTTCACGTGCAGTTAATGGTTTAACCCTCATGGCAGCCCTGTGGGGTAGGTACTAAGCATAAGTAGTTAGTTCAAAGTCACAGCTAGGAAGTGGCACCACCAGGGTTTGATCTGAGGCAGTCTTGTTTCAGGCATATTGTCTCAACCGCTCTACTTACCGCCCCATAGACAGAAAACAGTATGGTGGCCTCCTGAATAGACAGCTTATTCTAAAACATTTATTAAAGGCAAGATTTTTGATAAAAGGTTTGTAGTATAGTCAGGTAGAAGAGATTTTTCTCCTCCATTTGTTGTATTGTTTATATTACTAAAACATCTCCCTTACTACTATAATATGATTCTGTTGTTCACGGAAATCTCACCCTACTATCAAGTTATCCACAACACCACAACTTCTTTACAGTTTGGTCATTTCTGACATAGGTGTACCTCTCAGAACGCCAAACCCAAAGTCCCTAGCTGCTGCTGCCTCACATAGGACAGCAACATCAGATGTCCCTGAGGATGAGTCTCGGCTCTGCTTCTTGCTGACTATGGGACCTCAGGTAAGTCACTGAAATTGCCTCAGCTTTAGCTGTTCATCAGGAAAAACAGAGATAATAAAATCCCCATAAGAGTGTTACTGTAAGGTTCAGAGATGATGTAGGGTGACTAGCACAGCGTGGGGCACATAGTAGATGATCAATTAATATTAGTTGTTATTATTCCCTTAGCAATTCACATAACTATTGCAGCATGAGAAAATCAACAGAGAGGTGTTTGTAAAGGTCTGTCCTCTTACTGAGCCTGTTGGTGCTATTATTTTCTTCTTGTGTGTTGTTAAAACTGATTAGATTATAAGTCTCACCGATGCTTGTGCCCCATTAATCAGTGAAAGGAGATAGTTCCCTGATAGACGTACATATCGTAGATTTAGCTCCCAATCCTTCCCAAGAATTTGCTGTGAGGTGGCTGGTCATGTCACCTCCCTTAGTTAGCCCCCAGCTGTCACGTAGAGAGTACAATGACATCATTGATCTTGGGATTCTCCCTATCACCCTTCAAAGGCAAAGTTGTTTGTAACAGTCTTGTAGATGCTAAATATTCCTGACAGTTCAGGGCAGATTGTACAAGTTGATCTTTATCAATGAGGAATTATTATGATCCAGGCTGTTGCCGTACCTAAAAGGAAAAAGAAAACAAGTAATTGATGCTTACTATGGTCTAGCCTAAAACCAGGCCGTGTCAAATAACAGAGTCTTGGATTTGGAGGAAACTTGAGGATCTCCTCATCTCCCTCCCCTCTTTTACCTCCTCTTACCTGATATTTGGATTCCTTTACAAAGACTGGCTGGTGGTCATCCAGCCTCTGCGGGAAATGAGGCGCTCTGGGGACTTGGGCTCTAGTTCTAGCTGAGTCACTAGTCCAGGTGACTCAGCCACTACAAGCTCTGGTTTCTTCTATTGTGAGACACTGGCTCTCTATCTGACCTGCCCGGCTGCAAACTCCCCCCTTCTCCTCCCCCAGCAAGTAGGCAGGCCCCGACTTACAAACGGATCCTATTTCAAAAGATCACTGAAGCCTGTTATTTGGAACTCAGAAAATATTTCCTGTTGAAACGTTATAAATGATGGTTGGGATCTCAGGCTTGTCCAGAGCATTCTATTTCATTTACAATGTAGTTAAACTATGATCCTAGTCCAAGAGTAAGAGGGAGGAAAAAGAATTTCTTCCCCCTTTTCTGGATGCAAGTCAACACTAGATAAAGCTTTGAAATATGTGCTGTTTGCTTTGGCCTCCTCTCACTCCCTTCCTTTTCCTCTCTTCATCTTCTAAAGCCCCTCACTCTAGGGGCCCAAAGACTCCAACTGTAGCATCCCATCCAGGTTTACCTCACTCTACAACGTCCTGAATTTTCTTTATCCTCTCCATTCCCAGCCCTCTCTTTCCTGACTCCTTTCCCACCTCCATCCCCTACCTCCAACTCCTCTGGTCCCCACCTCCCACCTGTCCTCCCATCGAACTTCCACTCCCTCAGTGGAGCAGTCCGGAGCTAGATTAGGGAGGAGGAAATCTGATTTAAATGATGTGTGAGCACCTAAGCATAATAAGAGTTGACACCTAAGTAGTGCTTCCTGTGTGCCTGGCACCATTCTAAGCATGCGTCAACTCTTTAGATCCTCAACAGTCCTGGGACAGAGGTGCTATTATTTGCATTCCACAAATGAGGAAACTGAGATGAAGGGAGGTTAGGTAACTTGCCCAAGGTTATTATGCTACAGTCAGTGATGGAGCTGGGCTTTGAATCCAGGCAGTCTGACACTGAAGCCTGTGCTCCCACACTAACCTTCCCAGAGGGATTTGTATCTTTAGTATGGAATGCTTCTTAACCCAAATGAATCTCCACATTTCAGGCAGCAAAGCAGACCAGTGAAAACATTCAAGGAGTGTTGAAGAAGATATTCTGGGACAGGCAGACACCAAGCCAGGGTGGCAAATGCAAGCTCTTGGAAGGGCCTGAGTAGGCGATGAAAATGAAAGAAATGGTGTCTTCACAACAGTGGATTAGATTGTATTCTTTCCTCATGGGCACAACCTGGAGGAGCGTTCTTTCTACCCACAGAAAAAAGGCTCGTTACTGTTTTTGTTGGCTCTCTCGTTCTACCTTTCTCTTCCCAGTGTTGGTACAGACTTAGATAGAAGAAATGGTTGACGTTTCTCCTAACACACTTCTAAGAAAGATAGTGTCCATGTAATGATAAATGGCGATTGGTCCTGGTCCACCGTGTGTATGGCCCTGACTGTGGCACCTGGAGAGCATGTGTCCCCTGTGGCGGGCAGCCCTTCTCAGCCCTAGACGATGTTTAGTCTCCAGGCAAGCAGACAGTTTGACTCCAGAGCCCGGATTCTCAACTGCTTTGTTATACTGCCTGGGTTCAAGTGACACCTAGACCACACTTTTAACATACTTCATTGTAATATATTCACTTTCATGGTGAATGGTGGCATCTATGAATGAATTAGAAAGATGTCTTTACTTATCAGGACTTCTTCAGTTTCCAGTGCCATAAACCCAACTCAGATTATCTTTAAAACACATCCACATGTATGGGGCCACAAGGACACAATGTCAGACATAAATCTAGGGGCCCAAGCGATATAACCAGGTCCCCTTTTTCCATCTCCCAGATCTTCTTCTGTTGGTATGTGGACCTCATCTACCTCCACGGATGAGAAGATAGCACCCCTGATGCACATTCTTCCAGCCCCATAGCTCTAGAAATGAGAGCAGGCTTCCACTCTAGGTTAGCTGAGAAGTTCCAGGGAGAGACTTTGGTTGGTTCATTTTGGGTTCTGTGTCCACCCCTGAACCAATCGCTTTACCTAGGGCGTTGGATTACTTTGGTTAGCCAGGCCTGGTTTATTTGCTTGTTACCATGATAGGGGAGAATGAGCAGCAGAGGACTGTGATTGACATCCCCACCAGGCTCTAATAAAGTGCGAAGGGATACCTCTCCAAATAAAGAACGTGCAATCAATCAAAAACTATAGCTGTCTGCAGGAATGTCCAATGTTATCTCTAGCTTGAAAATTAGGGAAATTAAAGAGACAAAAAATAGCTTATTTGGATAACTCAAAAAATCAGAACTAGCTTTAGGACGCTTTGTTTATTTAGTGTATGTTTTCATGATTATAATAAACATCTAGGGGGCTGGCCCGGTGGCACAGTGGTTAAGTGCCCATGTTCCGCTTTGGCGGCCAGGGGTTCGCAGGTTCGGATCCCAGGTACAGACATGGTGCCGCTTGGCACGTCATGCTGTGGTAGGCGTCCCACATATAAAGTAGAGGGAGATAGGTACAGATGTTAGCTCAAGGCCAGTCTTCCTCAGCAAAAAGAGGAGGATTGGCAGCAGTTAGCTCAGGGCTAATCTTCCTCAAAAAAAGAAGAAAAAGAAAAAGAAAGGAATGTCTAAATAAAAAGTGAAAAATTCAGTCAATCCTAAAGATGTTTCTAAATATTTATTTTGGTGTTTTATGAAAAATGTGGATAATTGACTGATGCCTTCTTTTATTTTTTATCTGGATGTTTTAATCCTATATAAATGCAGTTTAATGCCATTTAGAATCTAGAACACATAACTCTGAATCATGATTACATGATTAAAAAAAAAAGCATTAGCTTTTAATAAGTGATTTAGCGTCTTGCCATAACATGTTTACTCTCAACCAGTTAGAGCCAAACCAGGGAACTAAAATAAGATAAAATAGAGAAGCAGCACTGCCCTTACATTTCCATAATAGAATCAAGAACTAAAATCAAGATATGCTCTATCGAAAAATTAGAAAATCATTTGCATCTTTGTATATCTTAACTATCCTTTCCCACTATATTCAGTTGGTAGTTTGTGCAATGAAATAGACAGACGTCAAGGGAATTTTTGTCTTCCAGATTAATGCTTGGCCTGTTTCTCTTTCAGCATATTCACTATCAACATAGCCTGTTGAATCCCCTAGTTGTGTGTGAAAATAAAATAAGTGCTTAATTTTGCGTTAAGACGGATTTATTTCCTTTTTTGCTAAATAAAACACATTTGTGGAAGTCCTACCGTGAGGCAGGTCCCTGTGCTGCTCATTTAATTCATTTAATCCCCACATCCACGCCGTGAGAAAGAGACCATGCTACAGGTGAGGAAGCTGGGGCAGTCACTTAATCTTGAGTAACCGCCTGAGGTAAATAAGGGTTTAAGCCTCTACTTCCGATGAGGAGACTGAGGCAGAGAGAAGTTTTGAAAATTACACAAGTTCACAGAGCTGATTAAGGGGAAAACCGGGATTTGAGCCCAGGCTGACTAGCTCTTGTGTTGATGCTCTTAATCACTATTCCATGCCTCTTCTAATTGCTCAATGGTTAGCACATTATCAAGTGTACAACCTATTACTGATGACAGTTAACGCTGAACCATAAAATACGTATTAAACCTTGTTCTAGGATACCTTGGTCAAAGTCTTCTCGAAAGATTTAAAGTTACCATGACACTTTTCCCATATTTTTCTCTTTTGGGGGGAAAAAAGTGGAAATAACTAATAGTAACTATTATTTTCAAGTAAAATACACCAAGATCTGTATGTACATTGTGAAAGATAAATTTCACAATAGTGCAACGATAGAACATATAACCATTACACGTTCTTATGAAAAAAATCCCTGTCCCAACTTGGGCCAGTTTCCTGTTTAATGTTATAAGTAAAGAATAGAAATGGACCTGACCGCTAGGTCATTTGAACTGACCTCCAAATGAAATATGGGAATTAGGAGTGGATCTTGCCACAGCCAATCATTTTTGCCTCAAGAGAAGGGTCCTCGCTCCCTTTCCCTTTGAAGCAGAAACCTACCTGTGGGCAAAACTTTCTACGTCCGCGTGAATCCCTTTCCAGAAAGGAAATGTGGGACATCCGGGTCTGCTTGCATATATGAAAGAGAGAGAGAGACAGAGAAATTCCCACACGCAGAAGCTAAAGCCATTGTGACGTCGTAGAATTTGTTTTGACCTCTGTGTGACTGACCTCACCACCCAGAATGACAACTGGCTCCAGGGAAGTCTGGTTAATGGTTATCACAGCATGTGGGCCTTCCCGCCTTTCTGCGTCTTACACGGATTTCTGTTAAGGATTTCTGTTGAAGTTGGAAACAAAGTACATCTCATATTGGGATGTTCTAACTTTGGAACACTTGAAGCAGCGTAGGTAAGCAATTCTTATTCCTTTAAATGAAATTGTAATGTCTTAAAGTATAAAATTTTTAAGACACATTTCATAAAACTGATGGGTAAAAAGTATATGTGATTTATCTTAAAACTGGCATGCTTTATTCAATAAGCACACAAATGTATTTCAAATAATCATAACCAAATGAATATATCAAATATGATATATTCAAAGCATACCATAAAATGTATTCCAATTTTAGTCAATCACTTTTGTAGTTTTTAAAATGTTTAATATATTCTCTTTCTTATCATCAAGAAATAAACTCATTTAACTTTATGATGAAAATTGTACATGTCAACTTAAATATGTGCAAGGGAACACATATTTTTTAAAATTCTTACATAATGTGCACAACTATAAAGTTTGAAGATCACTGCTTTACAGAATAAAATCCCAAATCCTTTGTATGAATTTCAAAACCTTTCACAAACTGACCTCTACTATCTCTCCAATTTCAAGCCTTGGCTATTTCTCAGTGTGAGTTTTTAGAAACAGTTTTTCTAAAACTAAAGCAAGATAGATAAATTTAAAAAACAATCATACTTAGACATATAGTGTGACTGCAGAATAGCAAAGTGAAAGAGAAGATCTTAAAAGAAGATGGAGAGAAAAAATATATTATCTTCAAAAGAATGAAAATTAGACTTACCGGTAATAGCGGAAGTCAGAAAGTGGTAAAATAATATCTTTAATGGACTGAGAGAAAATAACCAAACTAAAATTGTATAGCCACCAAAAAGTATCTTTCAGGGCTGGCCTGGTGGTGCAGTGGTTAAGTTTGCACACTCTGCTTTGGCAGCCTGGGGTTTGTGGGTTTGGATCCCTGGTGTGGACCTGCACACCACTCACTGGGCCATGCTGTGGCAGCATCCCACATACAAAGTAGAGGAAAATTGGCACAGATGTTAGCTCAGGGGCCATCTTCTTCAAGCAAAAAGAGGAAGACGGGCAACACATGTTAGCTTAGGGCCAATCTTCCTCACCAAAAAAAAAAAAAGAAGAAGAAGAAGGAAGAACATGTATGTTTCAAGAATTGGGAGAGTTTGTCAATTTATTGAAGAAAATTCTAAAGAATATACTTTAAGAAGAAGTGACATAATCCCCAATGGAAAGTCTGAGATGCAAAAATAGATGAAAAGTAGAAGAAAGTTGGACTTCATTCAGTCCAACTAAATTGCTGAATGTGTGAGAAAACATAAATATAAACTATATAAAACAGTAACAATTCCATGTTAGGTTCAAAATCAATATAGAATAAAAACATCTACAATAGCATATCAGTCAGGGGGTGATTAAAAGTAGAACGTTGAAAGACTCTTGTGTTATTTGAGAGGAAAGTAAAGGTATTGATAAATGTTAGACTTTGACAAGTTAAATATGCAGGCTAAAATTTCTAGTATGTCAAACAGCAGAATGGGAATAGAGTGTGTAACTTCCAAACTATTATAGGGAAAGACAAATGGAATGAGAAAAAATATATTCAATCAACCCAAAAGAAGACAAGAAAAGACAGGAAGAAAAAAAACCCACAGGAAAAAACAGGACAAATAGCACAAAATAAGATGGTAGAGCAAAATCCAAATATAACCGTAATTAATATATGTAAATATATTATATTCTCTGGCATTTTATGGGTCTGATTCTCTTTGTACAGCCCAACTAAGTTAGTAATGAGTATCAAGGAGATTACTAGGAAACTCTCACATACTTGGAAATTAAGAAACACTTTGAAATAGCTCGGGAACAAAGAATAACACTGAAAATTAGAAAATATTTATTCTTGAATCTTAATAAATAAACTGCAACAGTACTCAGAGGAAAGAAAAGAAGAAAGTTTGAAAGTTAATGAGCTGAACACCCAACTTAAGCAGCAGAAATCCAAAGTAAATAGAAAGAAAGAAAAAGTTCAGTTGAGAGTGGAAATTAATGGGAAAAAATACATTAGATAAAATTAACAAAGTCAAAATTGTTTTTTTTTTTTTAAAGATTTTATTTTTTCCTTTTTCTCCCCAAAGCCCCCCGGTACATAGTTGTGTATTCTTTGTTGTGGGTTCTTCTAGTTGTGGCATGTGGGACGCTGCCTCAGCGTGGTCTGATGAGCAGTGCCATGTCCGCGCCCAGGATTCGAACTAACGAAACACTGGGCCGCCTGCAGCGGAGCGCGCGAACTTAACCACTCGGCCACGGAGCCAGCCCCAACAAAGTCAAAATTGGTTTTTTGAAAAGATGAATAAAATTGACAAAATTCTGGTAGACCAATCAAGAAAAAAGAGAGAGAGCATCAATAAACAACATTAGGGATGAAAAAGGGTCTGTGTTACAGATGTTGCAGACATTAAAAGGTAATTAACACAAAACAATTATATGCCAATTAAATTGAAAACTTACGTGAAATGGAAAAATTCCTAGAGAAGCATAACTTAACAAACTCCTCAAGAAGAAATTTTAAAAACTGAGTATATTATTAACAAAAATAAAAAATAATTTAAAAATTTCCACAAAACCAAACCAAAACATTTACCACCACCATTACTCCCACTGGTTTTGGTGCCATTTTTACTAAACATTCAAGGAACACATCATTCCAATCTTTAAAAACTTATTCCAGATGATAGTAAAAGAGAGAATATTCCCTAATTTATATTATTTGGCTAACAGACCGCTGGAATCAAAACTAGTAAGGACAGAACAAAAAACAAAAATTAGAACGCAGTCTTAATTATGGGCATAAAGGCAAAAATGCTAAGCAAAATGTTTGCAATTGAATCCAGCTGGCTGATTTATCCCTGAAATATAAAATGCCTTAACATTAGAAAATTTATTAATATGATTCACCACATTAACAGATTAAAGGAGAATAATCATATGATTATCTAAGAGATGAGGAAAAAGATTTGGCTAAAATTCAATGTCTATTCATAATCACAATTCATAGAAGTCAGGAAAAAAGTCTGCATGGTAGGTTGGAAAAACCTGGCTATATAGTCTTTTGCTGCTCCTTCCATTAAGAGATTGACTTTATTTTCCTTCCCCTTGAAACTGGGCTTCCCTGATGACTTGCTTTGACCAAAAGAATGTAATGGAAGTTGCCTTGTGTGATCTCTGAGTCTAAGCTTTCAGATGCCTGTGGCTTCCACTTTCATCCTCTTGGAAGCCCTGAGCTGCCATGCAGGGAAGTCAGGCTCTCCTGCTGGACAGCCCCCAGAGTAAGAGGTCCTGAAAGAAGTAAGACCATAAGGAGAGAGAGGTCCCAGTACTCTAGCCATCTCTGTTGTAGTACACCATCTTGAATCCTGTCCAAATTGTGGACCGCCCTGCTGATACCACCTAGAACAGAGAGACAAGCTGTCCCAGCTGAGCCCCACAGCTAACCTACAGAATCGTGAGAAATAATAAAGTGCTTGTCGTTTTAAGCCATTCTTTTTTGGGACAGTTTGGAATGTAATAAACAGCCAATCTATTTATTACACAGCAATAAACACCTGATATAGTACTTGTAAAAGACCTATAGCAATCACCATATTTAGTGGTGAAATACTGAAAGCATTCTCTTTAATCAGGACAAGACCGGGGTTTCCTCTATCAACAGCTCTATTTAACATCATACAGGAGATCCAGAGCAGTAAGATAAGAAAAGAAGGAAATTAAAGCACAAAGATTGCAAAGAAAGAAACTAACCAGTAAATACTGCAAAGAATCTACACCTAAAATTAATAATAAATTAGTTAATGAGTGTTTAATAAGGCTGAAGGGTAAAAATTGGTATTACTGTATGCCAGCAACCATTAGAAAATGTAAAAATTTTCAAGTTACCTTTTACAATAGCATAAAAAATAAAGCATATGGGAGTAAGTGTAACAAAAGAAGTGCATGACAAATATCAAAGAAATTGTTAAGTTTACGGAAGCCGTTAAAGATGACCTATATAAATGGATAGATATACCATTTTATATTTTGGAAGTTTCAATTTCATAAGCATGAAAATTCTACCCAAATTGCTCTATAAATTTAATGCAATTTCAATCAAAATTACAGCAGGTTTTTTTTTTTTCTTTTTTGGAATTTGATAAGCTAATTAAAAAATACATATATGCAAAACAAGAGGCCAAGAGTAGCTTTAGGAAAGCAAGGTTTCCTCTGCGTGTGTGTGTGTGTGTGTAATTGTCTTATAGGATATTGAGACTCACCATAAAGCTATAGTAATTAAGAGTGTGGTGTTAGTTCAGGAATAGCCAAAATGACCAATAAAACAGAATAAAGAACCGATAAACAGACCGACATAGATATGAAAAGTTGAATTAGGTCTGCACTGTCAGCACAGGTCATGGCGAGAGAATCAACATGTGGTCCTGGGACAGTGGTTTATCCATAGGGAAATAACCAATTTGGACCTCTATCCTATACCAGACCTCTTAAATCAATTCCAAGTGGATTAAATACATAAAAGTATAAGGCAAAACTAGAAAACGTTTAGAAAATAATACATCATAATATTTTCATGATCTCAGGGTAGGGGAGGATTTCTTTAAGATTTTAAAAACATAAAGCCAAAAGATAAATATTAATATAGTTAATGCATTAAGAAAAAACGTAGTCACTAAAGACAAGCCACAAACTTGGAGAAGATAGTTGTAAAATGTAACTGGCAAATAATTTGTAACCAGATATAAAATAGCTCCTACAAAGCAAATAAGAAACATACAGTTCAATAGAAAAATGAGGAAAACATGTTCTAATGTTCACTTCACAGAAGAAACTTAACTGCTTGATGAGCATGAAAAGATGCTCATCCCCATTAGTAATCAGGAAGATTCAAATAAAGGTCATAATGTGACACCACAGCATAACCAGTTTGGCTAAAATTGAAAAATCTGACAATGTTAAGTGTTTACAAGTATATTGAGCAAGGGGAAGAAATTCTCATATACAACTGATAAGCATGCAAATTGGTAGGATAATTTTTGAAAACTATTATTATCTAATAAAGATGAAGAGGCACATAGTCTGTAACCTAGCAATTCCACTGCTAGATAAATACCTTAAAGAAACTTACACATGTGTATCTGCAGACTTGCACGAGAATGATCAGAGCAGCATGATTTGCAAAAGCCCAAACCTGAAAACAATCTAAATAAATATCAGTAGTAAAATAGATGAATAAATAGTGGTATATTTCAAACAATGAAATACATGATGAAATAAATGAAAGTCAATGAATTGCAAATATATGGGTGAATCTTAGGAACATAATATTTAGCAAAAGAGTAAGTCACAGATGAATACCTGCTGTATGATTCCATTTATATAAAGATCAAACACATGCAAAACTAAACAATACAGTGTCTAGGGATAATGAACATATGTGATAAAACTATGAAAAAAAGCAAAGGGACGCTCTTTACAAAATTCAGCATAGTCCTTACTCTGAGGGGGAAGGGAAGTGGTTGGGTAGAGAGAGGTTCACAGGTTAGCTTGTCTTATTAAACTTGGAGTTTGGGTGCTTGATATATATCTCTATAATATACGTATTATTCTTTTCAATCTAACCAATGTTTAGTAAAGACTTTTGTCAAGTGTTCAAAAAACCCTCACATTTAATCAGGATGACCTCAGGGAGGCATGACTGGAATGCCATTGTAACCAACAAGGCCGAAACTAAACCCTTGTGGTGGACTTTGCAAAAAGAAGGCCTTGGAAAGGGAACCATCTATTCACCTTCTCTAAAAGGAACACGGATAGGAAGACTTTGTCAGTGTCTGTCAAATCCACCCTACACACACACACATGCACACACACACCTGTACATACATCTTTTTCTATTCTCCCCTTACCCCTATTCCATCCCCATAATATCCTCAATCCTTCCTGGACACCATATTCAATTCATATTAATTTGTATTCTCAGTAGTTTTCACTTCTCCCTTGGGATTTTATCAGACAAAATTTACCAGTTAGTGTAAAGTCAAAGGCTCCTCCTGGGTTTTGTAAAAAATCTCAGGTCTCTTGAAGAGAATATGTCAGGTGTCCTGGAGGAAAGGGAGAGGGCAAAGTGGACCAAGAAAGGGGAGCCAAGGGGACCCTCACACTGCTTAGTAGCAGTCCCCAGGGAAGTATCAGCAGAGGCTGGTTGCATGTTGTATCCAAAGAGACAGGACCTCAGCACCAGGGACCCAGCCTCACATAGATTCCTGGACTTGAGCACCGGGTGTGTGGAAGCACAATGCTGTTGGCCTTTAAGGGACCACAGGCTCGGTGCACAAGAATGGCAGTGGTGACCGTGACAGGCAAGAGATGAGAAACACTTCGCCATTTTCCAGGCACCTGGTAAGCCTCTTTACATTTGGAAAGCTTTGGCAAGAAAAGGGCCCCTGTTGGAACTGCCTACTAACTTGGGAGTATGGAGCCTCAGGTTGCAATTACGCTGATATAAAGAAAATAAATTGATACTTGTTGCATCGCTGAGCGTGTGGACTGAGAGCCTTGCTTCCTCTGTCAGGATCATATCACTCTATATAGAAATTGCAGCAATTTACCGCCTTTATTGGTTTACATTTCTGCTTTCTCAACTAGAATACAAGTTTGTTGATGGCGAAGATTGTGTCTTGCTCATCTCCGCATCCCAAGGACCCAATGTGTAGTTGGGCAAATGGCAGCTGCTCGACCAGGGACAGATCCAAGTTTCATGGGGCCTGAAACTTTTTCTTTAAGAAAAAGAAGACAACATTATATGTACAAAATAAGGTACCAAAGCAAATTTTTATTTTGAATGAGGAAATAAATCACCACAAATACATTTTTAAATTAAAAAAAGTTTTATTTCACTTTTCTTAGGGTTCCCTCTTGGTAAGTTTTTAAAAGTTGACAAATACCATACACTCACAAAATCCAGAAAAAAACAACATAATATCTTTATTAATTAACTGCTTAAACACTTCTATAATGCTATTTTTCCTATATTTGAAAATTTGAATAATCTCTGTAAGACAATTTTGCATTATCATTTTATAGAGAGAGAATAGGAAGATAATTCAAGCTTTTTAATTTTATTGAGGCTTGCCTTGTTTCCCAACATATGGTCTATCTTTGAGAATGTTCCACGTGCACTTGAGAAGAATGTGTATTTTGCTGTTTTTGGATGGAGTGTTCTATATATATCTATTAAGTCCATCTGGTCTAGTTTTTTGTTTAAATCCACTATTTCCTTGTTGATTTTCTGTCTGGATGATCCATCCATTGATGTAAGTGGAGTGTTAAGGTCCCCTACTATTATTGTGTTGGTGTCAATGTCTCCTTTTAGGTTTGTTAATAGTTGCTTTGTGTACTTTGGTGCTTCTGTGTTGGTGCATGGATATTTATAAGTGTTATGTCTTCTTGGAGGAGAGTCCCTTTGATCACTATACACTGCCCCTCTTTGTCTCTCTTTACCTGTCTTATCTTGAAGTCTACTTTGTCTGATATAAGTATGGCAACACCTGCTCTCTTTTGTTTGCCATTAGCTTGGAGTATCGTCTTCCATCCCTTCACTCTGAGCCTGTGTTTGTCTTTAGTGCTGAGGTGGGTTTCCTGGAGGCAGCATATTGTTGGGTCTCGTTTTTTTTTTTTTTTTTAAAGATTTTATTTTTTTCCTTTTTCTCCCCAAAGCCCCCCAGTACATAGTTGTATATTCTTCCTTGTGGGTCCTTCTAGTTCGTTGTGGGATGCTGCCTCAGCGTGGTCTGATGAGCAGTGCCATGTCCGCGCCCAGGATTCGAACCAACGAAACACTGGGCCGGCTGCAGCAGAGCGTGCGAACTTAACCACTCGGCCATGGGGCCAGCCCCTGTTGGGTCTTGTTTTTTAACCCAGGGAATAGGAAGATAATTTAGTCTTCTAGCTTAGTTGATTAAAACAAATTTTAATATTGATAATTAAGATGCATAAAATAGTTAAATTCCCACACAGATGTATTCATAGTTCATAATACCACCCTATAAATACATGGATTCTGATAAGTTCTATCTTGACCTACTTCCATCAAGAAAGAAAAAAAAGTATGACATTTATAATCGTATATACTGCATAACTAAGTATACTCCTGATGGGAAAAACTTCCATTTTGAATAGGCATTAAAGATAACTAAATGTTCTACTTACCATTTCATATGTGTGAAGACTGGAAGAATTTTCTGTGGGTTTGCTTCTGACTGTGTGTTTCAAACCTTCTTTCTCTTCTACATGCTTTGGATGTAATAGGACACGTTCATATGGTGATATGACTTCTAGCCCCACAGCTTCACGTCTCATTGCTAGGCGAGCTGGCTCGGTGGGCTGTAGAGTATTCCCAGAAGCTATTTTGACATGGGAAAGCCAGTAAGGACTTAACTTTTTACAGAAGTGATTGTAAGCCACTAACCCCCCCCAAAATATATCCCTCAGTCAACTCCTCCTTTGCCAGATCCCAAAAATGCCTTAGCAAATTCTACAAAAACATAGGAATGTGTGAACGTATTATGAAGGCCTGTCCCACAGTCTTGAGATGGCCCTTTACTGGTGAGGGGTCATGAAAGCTTTAACGGTTTCAGTCAATCTGCTGGTGGGATTCATAAATGTTTGCTGGAACGAATAATTGAACCAAATATGAGACACTTGCATTCTAGGAATCTCTCTTGTGGAGTAGAAATTGCCCATCTTATCCTATCTATCAGGGCTGGATATATTATCTTTTACTAATTCCATGAGATTCAAGTCTTCTGATAAAAAGTTTTTCCCCAGGTACCTTGATTCAGGGGAGGTGGCGTCTATAAAGCAGACCTGAGTATTCTGGTTATAGATAAAGTACATTTCCCATTGCAAATAGATAAGTGGTCGACCTGGTTAGAATATTAGTCTCTTGGGAGTTTGATTTGTGTACCTGAGTCCTGAGACCCTGACTCCTTGCAGTGTCCTGACAATATCGATTTTCAGAACACGAAAGGTGGCCCCCCAATGTCCTGCCACTTGCAAAGCCTTGTCACAGTAGCCAGGTCGACCTTCCCCAGGGAGATGCATCTAACTCATCAAGCACAGCTCAAAACTGATGCTCTGATGACGCCGGTGACTCAAAATAGCATTCAAATGCGGTGAGAATGACTGAGTAACTGGATGTACGCAGGTGAGGTTTAAAAAGGGGGGATTGCTCTTCTTCCACCAACTTTCTGTACTTAAAAAAAATTAATCCTGTTCTCGCAAAAACTTTAAATGATTTTAAAAAATTGCTTGCCAGTATGTGGGAATAGGAAAGAGTTTTTTGCAGCTATGACACAAGCAGTTCTTAACCCTTAAGGACAAAGGCAGCAAATAGCAGAAACCCTTCGCAGTTGCCCTAGAACCATCCAGGGACACATGATGTATTGCTTCAAAATCATGGCCAGAGGCTTCGCTCCTTCAGATTTCAGGTGATTTCCAGGGAAGAGAAAAGGGCTGGGATGACATTCACCCTTCAGCAGCTGACCCCATTCATAAGGCATTTCTAGGGCTGGAAGCGGAGAGATCATTGTACCCAGTCCTCTCACTGTACAGGTGGAAACGCAGGGCCAAGGGTAAGTTACTTCTGTGGGGTCATACGGCTAGTGATGTGGGGACTCTGGATGGGGTTTAGGATATTATTTTTAGGCCTGAGAAATTCGGAATCGAGTGTCACAGAGGCTGTAAAGGAAGATATATGGTGAGCCAGCCGCTGTCCCAGATCATTTGCTGAAGGAAAGTCAGATCCCCACCAGCCTCAGCCAAATTAACAGCTGGTAACAGTTGGAAGCAACTGTCAGTTCTTAGAATTTTGAGCTCGCAAAAATCTTGCAGTTAATGATATTGGGGAACAGTTGCTCCTCCTGGTCCTGTCCATCATTCATCGGAAGGTGACTAGGACCACCAGCTGTCACACACAGACGCATTCTGAGGTAGCGCAGAAACTGGGGTTGGAAAGAGGATAAAACCAGTATCAACCAACGGCAAGTTGGCATTTGGCAGAAAGTCCTCAGGGGAGGTCGACTTTATCTTCTTTAAGAAGAGATAGGAAAGAAAGAGAGGAAAGCATGGTAAAACAAGATAAAAAGTCTCAAATATGTATCTCCAGGGAAAAATGCAACAGGAAAAAAATGATAATAGACTATTTCTGGGAGGATAAATAAAGAACTGATAATTACCTCAGGAGAGCAACGAAGTGTTGGAGTTTGGGGCCCAGGAGAGACTTTTCACTGTGTGACCTTTCGTACATTTGGGCTTTGGAATCATGTGAATTTTTAATTGTGTTTTTTTGTTTTTGCTGAGGAAGATTAGCACTGAGCTAACATCTCTGCCAACCTTCTTCCACTTCATATGTGGGTTGCTGCCACAGCATGGCTGATGAATGGTGTAGGTCCATGCCGGGGATTCAGACCCACAAACCCAGGCCACCGAGGTGGAGCATGCTGAGCTTAACCACTACGTCATGGGGCCAGTCCTTCTATTTTTTTAAAACACGTTAGATTTTTAAAATCTAGAGCAGCTGCCTCTGACTGTAGCATTACTTGCTAATGTGAGGCCAATGCACGTTCCTTCATTCTTTTCTAATGTTTCTTGCTGTAACGGCTAAATACCTCCCTAAAACTAAATATTTCCTTTTTTGGAGAAGGCTTAAGTATAGGCAGAATCCTGTTTTAACAGCTATCACCATGCTATCTAGTGCAATATAACAAAGTCCCTGTCCTGGCCAACAGCCCATGTGAGCATGGTTCTGCTCATATTTGTTGGTTTATGTGGAGGCAACAGTAAGGATTTTATACATGCACACCTGCACACATGCATGTATGTATATATAGACTATTTTTCCTTAAAAATTATTTGTATATATACATATGTGTATGAAGCTGGGTACCTAAGGGTTACTGTGAATATTCAATAAGAGTATGTTATGAAAAGAAGTTAATCTTGTCAATTTGTTGTTTTCCTGTTTAACCTGAGAGGTAACTCAAGGTTCACAAGGATTTACGAGCTTATTTTACAGAAGAAAGAGAACGCCTTCAAGGATCACCAGATTACCAGCCTCCAGCTGCCACCGATGCCCAGGGGCTTTTTGGGAGTGAAAGAAATATGGATTACTCCTTTGTTTCTCCAAACTCCTCCTGCCACACCCCGTGGCTCTATAAGACCCCCTGCCTTCTTCTCTTGTTAAGGCAGTCTTGAGAGAAGCCATGCTCCCACCTTCTCGTCTTGGTCAATTTGAATAAAACTTTCTCCATCTCCAAGCACTGATGTCTCAGTTTTCGGCTTACTGCACATCAGGCACATGAACTTGAGATTAAGAGGTTCGATATCACATGTGTATATATATATATCTATATACAAAGATATATATGTAGATATACATGTAGAGATATATATACTTTCTAAGAAAAAGATTTTAGAGACAGCATTATAGGAATCAGATCTATAGAGGATGGTGTCAAATGAAGTAATTCATGTAGCATGTAGGATGCAGCAACAGAAATGGGTGTGAAGCATAGAAAAACACAGTGTTCAAGAGACAATGTAGCATTGCAATTTAAAGCATAGACTCAAAGTGATGAATCCAGCTTTACCACCTAATTAACAATGCAACTTTTAGCAAGTTATTTACCCCCTTTATGACTCTGTGTTACCATCTGTAAGATGGGACTGATAATAACATAAATCGCAAAGGTTCATTATAGAGTTCATTAAATCAGTTATTAGATAAGACGTCTGGAACAGCGATTGGCCACATGGTCAGTACCAACAGATATAAGTATTAGCTACTGTCATTCTGCAAAGAAAAATCTGGTAATGTGTACCCATGCTGCAGTCCTTCTGGCCCCTAGCTAGATATTATCACCCATGTGCAAGGATATATTTGATCAGGATCTCATGGCGGTCTGGGTAAAACAGTCCTCAAGACAATCAGCTTCTCTTAATTTCATGCTCACTCAGCAATTATCTTGATTAATAATCCAGTTTTCCAAGTTTCTGTCTCTATAAAAGCAGGTATGGTATTCTGATGCAGGTCATCTGTCTCCCGGCAGAAAGGGTCATCTCCATTTAAAAATTAATGCATTGGCATTCTCGTTTACGTGTCTATCTCATGTGCTTATTGCACTGAGTCTGCACCTTGAAGATACACTCAGAAAGTCTAGTTTGTGGACCTGCCCAACCAAGGTCCAGAACCTGGACCTTTGTGTCGTTCCCATAGGCTTCTTGGGGACCACTTAGCTGTCTTCCATAGGTGAGACCCCCTGATGCTACTACCTCATTGTAGACAGGTAGCGATCTCTCAACATGGTGGCACACACTGTGGTCACTTTGCTTAGCAAAATTTTATTTTTTTACACAATATTTATGTATAGAAATTGTATTTGAAAACCTGAAGTTCATTACATATATGTGACAAAATTGAACTAAGAAAGGAGTTGGTAATTCTGTTTTGAAAGCTAAAGCAGAAACAAGTTATTGAGCCTTTCTGTAAGAAAGAATTAAGCAGAAAGTGTGTTCTGAGATATACTTTTCTCTTCTCTCCCATAAGATCCTGGGGATTTAGGGCTCATGCTACATTTTGGTAAGTGATTTGGGAAAATAGGTAGTGTTCTGGTGAGAGTCATTGGAATTGGGATGCTCAAAACTCCAGCGCCGTCTCAGGTTCAGACGTAACACTGCGTTCTAATCCAGGCTCATTAGAGGCCCTCTGTGACCCGTGCTGGACAGTTTCCATTACCTGGTAAGAAGGTCATTGGCAAACTGGAGTTTGTCCAAAGGAAGGCAACCATAGGAAAGAGTCATCTCACGTGTATCAGTCAGGATATTTTTAGTTGCAAGTAACAAAACACTAGAATCAAACTGGGCTAAGCAAAAAAAGATAATTTATTGACACATAACCAAAACCACATATTTCTGAGGTAGAATTGCCTCCAGACAAGGCTTTTTTGGGGGTTTACCTCGTACAACCACGACTCATTTTCTCTCCATCTCCCCCCCTGATTTTTAGAGATTGGCACCATTTTCAGGTAGGCTCATCTCTTCATAGTCCAAGATAGACGCCAACAATTCCCAAGGCTTCATGCATCTTCATCTCCATTCCACACTTTAGAACCAGTGTGCTAGAGTCCTGAGACTTACTCTGATTGGTCTGGCTTAAGTCAAGGGCCACCCCTGATGCCAACATTTTGGCCAGGAAATGAGAAGTTCGCCTTGGCCATGTGCTCTACCCTTGGAGCAGGAGTGGAGTTAGCTTCTCCAGAACCACACGGAGCCCCACTTGGAAATCAGGGCTGCTGGGAAGTGAGAGGAAAGAGATACTGCAGAGGTAACCAACAAAGGTACACCCTTCATCATATGAGGAATATCTAAAGGAATAGGGGTCCTTAGCTTGAAGAAGAGCAGACATTAAAAAACAAGGTAGTTTTCTTTGAAGACTTGAAACTGTTGTTTGGAGGAAGATTTATTCCACATAATTCTAGAACTGATGGCTAAACTTATAGAGGGGAAGATTTTGACTAAATTTAAGTGAATGAAATATAAAAATCTCCCTCCTCTTTCCCTTCCCTGCCCTTCACCTTCCTCCATTTGTACTCTCCAGAGATAACCTCTATGAACTGTTTAGTGAAAACCTGTCTTAAGATTCGAGCTACCTATAAGGACTTGGCTACATCCTAAAGAACTGTTTGCCCCACCTTTCCAAGCAGGATTTCTACTGTGGGTGGGACATAGACTAGCCAACTGTATGATACAGGACTCCATGTTTGAGGCAGAGTGATCAAAGGGGAAGTTTGCGGGTACTTATAACAGGTGATAAGAATTTAAGACGTTCAAGAGTCGCTGTTGTTGAAGGAACAAAAGAACTGTGAAGACTGCTTTCCTTAAAACCTGAGCAATGATGGTAGATGGAGTGAGTAAGGAGGTGAGGATGAAAGATGGAATGTAGATGAGTGGAGGTAAAGGTCAGTCCAGTCAAATAGCACCTCGAACCAGACCATGGATCCGGAGCGAGCAGAACACCCAGGGAGGCAACAGCATTCACATGGACGGACAAGTTCCCTCTGACCTGTAAAAGGGCTTCTTTGACCGAATGTTCTTAGGTCTTCCATTTACACATGAATAATTAAACTTATCCCTTGTCTGTTCTGGTCTATAGTAGAAAGAACAGAAAGACTCTGTTAACCTTCTTAAATTATTTCATAGCTGTATCTGTTCCAATTTATTCCTGATATATTAATGAAGCAGTAGCTGTCATTTAATACTTCTAGTGTAGTCAGAATCAGTGGCAAACAGACAAACATACTAAATTTGCCTTTCACAGAATATGAGTAGTCAAAATGAGACTGTGTTTTGTCCAGGCCTACTAATATACTGAACCTTAAAACGTATTCATAATAAATACCATTTACTGAGTGCCTGCTCTGTTTCACATACTGCTTAGCACTCAACACACATTTAATGAAAATTTCAGAACAAACGTATGAATTGTTATCATCTCCACTACAGATGAAAAATAAGGTCTGGAAATGTTAAATAACTTGCTCAAAATCACACAGCTAATAAGTAATGGAATCAGGACTGGGACCTAGTTCTATCTGATTGAACCTGTGCCCTTCCCACACGACCCTGCCTTTAGGTAAGTGAGCACGTTTACATGTGTGTGTAGAGAGAGTGAGTTCATGACACGACGTGGTTAAATATCATGCATATGTACACACCAATCTTGAAATAGAAATTTTTATTTTCTGTATATGTTTGTTACTCATAGAAACAAATT